TTTCTCACCAGCAGTAATTAATAACATTTGTAATTTGAATATGACATTCATATTCACAAGAAAAAGGAAAACAGTACTTGAAATATTTTTCTAAGAATTTGAATCCCACTTTAAAGGACAACATGTTCACTTACAAACAGACATTTATCACAAATTATTATTGCAAAGGCCTTGTCACATTTCATATCCATGCAGTTACATGCAGAACAGCAGCACTATTATAAAGAAATCATTGTGTGTGCTACCCATTACAAAGAACCCCATCATGAAGGAACACATCATCACACCATTTACCTTAGCAGGTACTTCTGCAACTCCTGTGTCAAGAATGTTGGTACGATAGCATTTTAATCAGGTGCACACCAGGTGCATCATAAGCACTTGAGCATTTCGTTCAATATAACTGCAATGTTAGCTCAGAAACAATAAATGTTATGCTACTGTTTAGGCAAGATTATGGTCAGTTAACACAATCAAATATAAACTGAAAATTCACCCACATTTTGCAAACTTTAGCAACAGCTAAGTGCAGTATATAACTGATATTTGTAAGAAAACAATCCCTTGGGAGAAAGAACGTCCACATTAAATATTATTTTATCAGTATGAGATGAAAATATATTTATGTTTGATCTTATTCCCATGGAATTTAAAAAAAACCCCAAACAAACCACCCACTTACTATACTTAGAAATACTACTGAATGATGTATCTCTTTTCTTTCATAAAATAGAGCATTTAACAGCACCACTCCATCCTGAAGCTCTATTAACAATTCAAATTATTTCACTAGATCTTTACACATTTATAAAAAAAACTACAATGTTGAAGTAAAGCAGAGATATTAACTGTATGTTTCATAGCCCTGTATTCCAGTAAATACAGTACAGACATTGTTAATAACAGGCCACACATTGAGTTTGTACTGAGTTTGCAAGGTCTGAGGACTGAGGCTTGCCAGGCTGTCTGAACTTGCTTGACCTGCCTGGAGATTTCACTTGGTTTATCTGTAACAGCAATTCTTTTAAGGACCAGGTGGCTATGTCTAATTTGTTCTTTTTAACTTTATACAGTATAAACATAGCTATATACACACAGTAGTAACAAGAATTTCTTCTATGTAAAATTAAATATGAATTTAAGATAACGATGTAGAGAAATATAGATCTGGCATGATAGCAGAGGCCTTCAGCACATAGAGGAGTACAGGCATGGGATGTTAACATACAGGGCACAGACTAACACTGGAGGACCAAGACTATAAAAAACTCATCAATGGTCAGTTAAAGAAATGCAGACACAAGAGATGGACAGAAGTGGTTTTATGGATGACAAAAAGAGCAAAGAATGAGTATCTAAAATATGTAATCTGTGCCATATATAGTAAATTTGGATGCGATGTAGGCTTGCAGACCAGCGAAGAAAGAGGAAGGTGCAAATTGTGTTGGAAAATGCATAAAAATGACCCAAGTGGATGCTAGAGTGAGAGAGAAGAAAACATCAATATGGATATCATACTCCTTCTGATGAAGAAGTCAGGATAATGGCAATTAATTCTATCATGCCTGCCTGTCAACCTCTGTCAACCTCAGGACTGAGGGGGACAATGGAAGGCTGAGAATAACAGTGGCAAAAGGGGTAGATGTTAGGAGGTGTAGAACATATTTAACTCTACTGAGACTTTTTGTAGCACAGTATTATCTATTTTATTTTTCCTTCTCTTTTTTTTTTTCAGTTATTAAAACTGTACTAATAATTCTTTCACTAGACTGCTAAGATTTCAGTATACAGTACAAATAAATATTGGCTTTATGTATCAGGTGTGTCTCCTTTGTAGCCATAAAAAGATTTTGAGCATGACAGTTGTTTACAGGTAGGTTAGAAAAATAATCCATTACTCTTTAACTTCTTAGTATATATTAAACATTTTAAGACTATTTTAATATTAAGAGAATACATGAATGATAAATACAAGAATTCCATTGTCAAGACTTAAGTTTGTTAAAATCAATTCAACATATATGGATGCCAGGACAAGTTTGTTAAAATCAGTTCAACATTTATGGATGCCTCATTATGAGCATTTTGCACACCGACAAATCAAATCTACTTGATTTGAAAGCTAAATTACTTTAGTGGGGCCCTTCATTCTGAATGTAAATCAGTTACTCATATTCTTTCTTTCTTGTGTTCTGTGTAGCTTGAATACACTTGTTTTCATTTTTATGTCTAATATGTTGAGCATTACACTCTATAGCAGAAAAGAATTCCCTGATCTGTATGGTAAGTAGCAAACCTATTGTATGTGCCTTTAACTCTTTTTCCTACTTCCTTTTTCTTCCCTTCCCTTTCCTTTTAGCCTTTGTGACACTAACCAGACCTACCTTATTCTGTAATATTTTACTCGATTTAAAGTATAAGAAAATATATACATGCATATATACATGCAACCTTCCAAATTAAAGGAATACACCAGTACCTGATATGTCTTGGATATAGCATTTCTACCAAAAGAAAAATTTTATACATAAACATAAAAAATCCTTTTCAGATAACAATTTCATAAAGCTCTGAAATATATCAGTTGAGGGGTTTTTTTTTTCCTTGTCTTAATATATCACTATGTTTTACTTAAGATTTGGAATGCTCTTTTTAGTTGAATCTCCCAGTCTCTCCCACTGATTGTACTATGGGTAACGTCACAGTGGTCACAGCATACAAACTGCATTCCTTACAGATGAAATTAAAGTGGAAGATGTGCTCCTGGCATGCACCCAAAGCACTCCAATTTCTAGCGATCATTCAGTCTGTTGACCAGACTAGAATTAGTCCAAGTAACTCCCTCAATGGATGTCATACAGATATTGGGTCCCTAGCATAAACTTCTTGGTCTGCAGACCTGATCCCTATGTGCTGTATTAATTACTAATATAGACATAGTTTTGGAACTCACACTTGATCAGAGTCATCAGACCTAAAGATTCTAAACATCTTATGTGTATATGTATTGTAAATTATTTTACTTTGCACAAAAGAAATGTTTTAAAACTATGTTCAGTTCCAAAACTTAATTTTGATCACTGTACTAAAAAGAGGAAGAACAAGAAACATATCTACAAATATGAAATTATATGCTATTTGTTTTAGCAATACATTGTAATACAGATATTGTGCCACAAATACATTGAAGCTTCTGACAAATAGCTATGTCCAAAATATTTCCTCTGGCTTTCTTGTCATATGATTTAAATCCTGTCCTGTTCAGTTTAGGACAAAAGTCTTAGCTCTGTTTCCCTACATAAAGTTCAACATATATAACAAGAGCTAAAAGAAATACCCAAAACCAATGTGCACCTAAAGGAGGATTTAGGACTTTGATTTCAAATTACAATTCTGAGGAGTTCCATGCAGATTTGGCTTCTTGTTCAGTTGTAAAACAAATCTGTATTACACAATTCTATTGTGCAATTTATTTCAAGAGTAGTCAAAGAAACATCTAAATTTCCTGAAAAATGAAATTTTTCTATGCTTGTCTTCAGGTTCCACACCTCATTCATAAAAATGCAACTGTAAGTTTCTTTTGCCGGACTGTGATATTTATAGGCTAATATGCTAGCATTAGAGCTAGTGTTGTTTGTGACATGTCTTCTTTACTAGCTACATAGTACCATGACATTTGGTTGAACTTTCCTTCATCATTATTATAATTTAAGTTTGAAATTAGGGAGTTTCATTGACAGAAAGATGGGCCAAAAGTCTTCAGAACAATTTTACATTGTAAAGCTAAATCTGAATTTACCTGACAATTTTTCAAATTAGAAAGTTAATGAAAAAATATATGTAAAAATGCTAAATAAAACAATATGAACAGCAACTACGTATGCTTTTCTGACCTAAAAAGCATTAATATTCAAGAAACACTTTTTAATCACTGGGCACAAAAATTGGACATTAGGCCCATCATTAGTAGTCCTTAAAATATTTTCAAAGAATAACACCTCAAGATATTCTACCCACATTTTTCTATTAATTTCTTGAAAATATACCAAAAAGTGATAGTAAAACCACTTGGACGTTAAGAAAAATATAACACATAACTTTATAGGCATTCTTAAATTAATTACTCTCGCCAAAATATATTGCATCTTTAGTGCAAAAGCACAAGAGTATCACCTAAGACATTAGTTGTTGTACACTTTGATTTTGTTATTGCATGCTTGAAAGATGTACAGACCAATTCCTGTTCTGCTATAATGCTTGGAGTCTGCCATGACTCCAGATATCTGCAAAATAAAAACAATCCAAAATCCAACACCACATTTTAAAGATTGTGCTCAGCAGGGTATCTGATGTCATGTCTTCCGAAGTGAAGGACTTCCCTCAATGACTGAGCTACATCCAATCAAATCATTCACATCCAAAAAGAAAGTTTTACACTTTGAAATGCAATGTTTTCAAAAACATTTAAACAATAATATTTACTGGCAACTCCAGAGGTAAGGTCAAGTTTTTATGATATGCAAATTACACTTAAAATTTTATCCTTTCACTTCTAAGCCAATCTCATCTTGCAAGAAATCTCACAACTACTGCCTTGCAATATGCACTACAGTTTAACGGAATTTTTAAAGATACAGCTCTTGAATGTCAATTTCCTGATTACAAGAGGAAAATGTAAAAGTAAATAATTTTAGGCTTCTTAAGAAACAGTACAGGCAACAAATTACTTTCTGTACTGGATAGTTATTATTTTGATTATAGTTAATTTTTAGTGTTTCTATTTATAGAATGTCTATTCATTGTATAGTAATATATTAATTATTATATTATTTACACATACTGTCTATATTCATAATATTTATCATTAAAGGCCCTGAAACAGTAATGTGCTGAAGCTTATATCTTCAGCTGCATGATAGAATATAATAATTTCAATTAACTGAAATATATGTAATAAAAAGCCTGCGATCCAGGAATAATGATCTCTTTGTTAATCTTACCCGAAGACTTTAACTCTGATTTTTTCAGATAACTTAGGAGAAACAGAATTGAAGGCTCTCTTGAAGTCTTCAAAAGTCAAAAATCCTCTGTCTTTTCAATCAAGATTACGCAAGAGAAAAGTAACATAAATTAAGGGTGATTTTTAAAACTATTTAGTACAATTATGTTTGCACGTGAGCTAAGAAATTCACATTTCTGAAATGATCATACAGTTTTAAAGTTATTCACAAATTATTTTAGGATAGCTACATTATATAGATGAAGAGCCTAAGAAAGATTTTATACTGGCAATTCCTTCTTGCCACCATGAACCCTGTTACTGTGCCTACATATACAACTCTTATTTAAGTTTTAACTTTAAAAGTAGACATTCTGAATTGAAAATTTCAGATTTGTAAAACTTTGAAAATATAGACTCTAAAATATGCAAAATTACACTTCAAATCTATCATTTTCATTTACATCTCTGTTACACTGAGCATTGTGTTTCAAAAATGTTCTTTCATAAAAAAAATTTCCTTCAGTTTAATGCTGCTGCAGACTTAAGGTCATGAATATATTATATCAGAGTAATATCAAGTTACAAATTCATTTCCAGATCCAACTCGAAAATAATGTATCTCAAACAGGGTTATTGCAGACTGTGTGCAGCAAATAGCAAGACAAACAAAAGCACAGTGCTTGAAACAGTTAAGTTCTTTGGAATAACTCACTAAAAATAACACTTCAAAAGCTACTTTTAGTTCACAGCAAAAAGCTGAGTGGATGCTTGTCTGATAATCCCAACATCTGATCTGCCATATGTTTCACTTTCCCTCTTTTCAAGGACCATAGTCCTATCCCAGGTCAGGAAGGAATTGCATCTAAATGCGCATCAGTTCAGAGGCTCCTGATGAAGTTTTCCTTTTTTCAGTTTGGTGATGGGAGATCCTCTGCTGTCTAGCAGGAACAAAAATGAATCACCACATCTACTTCCAAAGAAGAACAAGAAAAAATTCTTGTTGCTTTGGTTTCCCTTTCTTGGCCTATCATGAGGAGTAAAAAATATCTATAGCCATCACCAGGGACAGAAATCTGTAAAGTATGTGGCATAAATAAGTGAGTGGATATACATGAGTACGGGTAACAGAGAAATAATGAGGAGCAGTAACAACAAGTAGGTAGGGTGAATGGCTAGAGATTGCTTTTAACAGCTGGAAGAGCTCATAATACAGCAGACAGTACAGAGCTACCATCTAGAGCACTGCAGCCTAGTGACCCTGACTTTATTTTTAGTAATACCATCATAACCTTTGTTAGTCTGGTATACTGTTTTACTTAACTTTGCAGCATCCAGAACACCTCATCTTAACTTCTTTTTATTTCCTCCAGGTGTTCTGTTTTGCTTAATTGTTTCAGAATTAAATTAATACTCCTAATATTTAGGAGAAAAAACTTACCTTGCACATCAAAAGCTGTAAATATTTGTTTCATTACTGTATAACTGTGCAGCCTTCTTTGCACTCGTGAGATAAAAAACCTTCTCAAATAATACACCTAGAAAAATGTAAAACATAAATAAATCTCCCTGAAAAAAAAAGTCAGGTTTTTTTCTCCTTAAAAATATATATGACTGTAGTCTATTATAATTATTTATTTACTAATTTAATTATATAAATATATGTAAAAATAAAACTGTTAAGAACAGCCTTCAAAGTCAGATGATCATGCAAATACATCAATACTGTTTAAATTTTCTCAGATCTTTTCTATATTTGAGTATAATGCTTCTGTTTACTTCCACTTTTTTTCTTCTTGTTACCTGCCATCTCATGTTTCTTTGCACTGGAGTGAAACATGGGCTTTTCTAAGTCAATAGCACTTGCATGCCATGAATAAAGGTCCACGCTGTACAAACAATCTATCTGGCAGCATTCCCAGCAGTGAGAGAACTCTGAAATAATCCATAACCTCAGATTTAGGTTCCCATGAAATTCATAATAAAATGGAATGTAGAACTGGATTGGTTATTCCTCTTGTGTACTATATGGAAGTCTTTACTTGTACATTTATCTTATCCTTTTAATGAACTGAAAATGAAGGAAATTGAAATGCAAACCTAGTTTGTAAGTTCTTAGTTGAACATTTCTTCTAAAATCAAAGTAAAACATAAAAATTAAGAAACAAAAATCTGACCCCCAAAATTTTAGGCCTCCCTATGAAACATGTAGAAATCTTGATATAAAAATTCTGCAGATAGATATTTTTTTTGCAAAAATTCCCACTTCAGTTGAATATTTAAACACAGACAAATATTCTGTTCTCATAACTTTCTAATATATGCTTTCTACTCATTTTAAACAATTTAGTTTTCTTTAGAAGGCAACATGACTGCATCCTGCAAGAATTTTTATTTATCAAATAATATAACAAAAGCTCTGCACTTCTTTTTCTTTTGATTCATTCATATCCTATTATTTCTGCAGTGGTTCAAAAGCACAACTCCTTCAGCTCCACCTGCTGTCTCAATTCAAATCTTAAACTCCAAGTTTACAGATTTCCAGTGTTTTTTTCCTTATTTCTTCTTGATAAATCATATATTAACAACTGTTACAGTCTCAGTTTCCAGGATTACAAAGACTTGCTGCTTTCAACTGCTAGCTTCTGTACATGCATAATTTCTTTAACAGAGGTTACCTAAACATACTGAACTTGCCTGCTTGAACAGCTTTCCATTCATAGAGTGGTTTGAGTTGGAAGGAACCTGAAGGATCATTCAGTTCCACCCCCTGCCATGGGTAGGGACACCTTCCACTAGACCAGGTTGCTCAAAGCCCCATCCAACCCGGCCTAGAACGCTGCCAGGGATGAGACATACACAACTCTGGGCAACCTCTTCCAGTGTCTCACCACCCTCACAGGAAAAAAATTTCTTCCTTATATCTAATCTAAATCTAAACTCTTTATGTTTAAATTGTATTATTCAATTGGATAACTATGGAAGTGAAACCATAAAAAGCAATATAAGCTTTCCATCAATTTATTTTTTCTCTTTCAGACTAACATACAAACCAAGAAAATTATAGTATACAATTTTCCTTTTACAGAATGACTCCTATAACAGAGTGCCACCTATTCATTGATCTTGAGAGCTGACAATTTATGTGCTACTAGAACAGGTTATAAAGCTACCGCAACACACAAAAAGGTCATCTTAAAAAAATATTAAAGCCAATTAGGTATTATCAAATCCATAATCTATCTTTATATCTTAGTTCACTATTTTTGGTTCAGGTATTCATATGTGGTTGTTCTCTTGAAAAAAGATCTGAGTAAAATCTTTATTTTGTATTTGTTGTGGTGTGGTTTAATGAACATGGGTTTTGGCATCAATGCTAGAATAAACAGAACCAGCCTCAACAATGCCCTTTAAATGTATTTATACAAACACTTGTGGGGCCATGTGGCGAAAGGGATGAGGGAACTTATTGATAAAAGCAATCACATTTTTTTGCCACTTCATTTTTCATATGAATCAGTTCTTCAATAAGATTTGCCACATGACCCCACAAATGTATTGGCATAATTGATAAGGTCAAGGACAAGAAAAAAACAAGCAGAACTATATAAATGGAAGGCTTGTTATAGAAGGAGATATTTACTGAGCTGTCGTATAAGACTGCATTATTTACCAAAGTGAACAGTGGAACAGTATACAAAAATTGATAGAATCTTTTTCATCACTTACCAATTTGAACACCAACATTTGCTAATTCCTTTTCTCTATCACTATATAATGTTATTAAGAAATGCTGCTTTGAGAAGCAAGAATAAGTTCAAGCTAAATGTAACGTACGAGCACTAAAATTACCACAAAACTTAATGAAAAAATATGATCCCCTTTAATAGCCATGGACAGCTGATTTATAGAATAAAATAATAGAATCATTCAAGTTGGAGAATATCTTTAATATCATTGAGTCCAACTGTTAACCTGACACTGCCAAGTCCACCACTAAACCATGTCCCTAAGTGCCACATCTGCACCTCTTCTAAACACCTCCAGGGATGGTGACTCAATCACTTCCCTGGGCAGCCTGTTCCAATCCTTGGCAGCCCTTTCTCAGTAGAGGAATTTTTCCTAACATCCAATCTAAACCTCTTCTGATGTAACTTGACGCCATTTCCTCTTGTCCTTTCAATCATTTGCTGGGTTTCCTGAGAGAAGAGACCAACACCCACCTCGCTACAACCTCCTTTCAGGTAGTTGTAGAGAATGATGAGGTCTCCCCTGAGCCTCCTTTTCTCCAGACTAAACAACTCCAGTTCCCTCAGCCACTCCTCACAAGACTTGTGCTCTAGACCCTTCACCAGCTTTGTTGCTCTTTTTGGACGCACTCCAGCACCTCAATGTCTGTCTCGTAGTGAGGGGCCCAAAACTGAACACAGTATTTGAGGTGCAGCCTCACTAGTGCCAGGGTGATGATCACTTCCCTACTCCTGCTGGCCATATTATTCCTGATACAAGCCAGGATGTTATTGGCCTTCTTGGCCACCTGGACACACTGCTGGATCTTACTGAGCCGGCTGTTGACCAACACCCCCAGGGTCTTTTCCACCTGGCAGCTTTCCAGGCACTCTTCCCCAGGCCTGTAGGGTTGCATGGGGTTGTTGTGACTCAAGTGCAGGACCTGGCACATAGCCTTGTTGAATCTTATTATCAGCTGCATACCTTATCATTAATCTTCACTGGGTTCTTCAAAACTCTTGAGAGACTAAGATTGAAATTTTTTAAATTTATGAATGAAAAAGGAAATCATGGCCTGCATAGCGTTTGCATAGTACCCAAATTTTGTGGTCTCACAGAAGACATTACTGAACCCACCTCCACTTGGAACACAGAATATATGCCACAGTGGTTTTCTACAGATCCGATAGATCTGACTCCTGTACAATTTCCATTTTATATCAATAGTATGTGATTTCACTAAATATTGATTTCATAATAATAGATATGATACAACAGTATCATCTAGGGCATAGGAAAGTATTTTACTCTAATTAAAGGAAAACAACCTCTTTTTCATCCAGTAAACTAAGTATATATGTAGTCCTAATAGAATCCTAATCAATATCCTAAATCTTAAACTAAGTATGCTTAAACAAACATGCTTAACTTTATATAGGTTGGAGTTCAACTACGCACAATATTAAAAATTAACTTTTGGAGCATCAGCCCTCAAATTTGTTATTTCCTTTAAACAAGGAAAGAACTTTCTGTTTCAATTGGAGGCCAACTATTTCCCGAAACCTAGCTTGATCAAAATTCATTTGGTAAACCTAACATAAAAACTTTAATAAAAAAGTAGAGAATAAAAATATAGTAGGAAATTAAAAAAATCTCTTCGTATCATCCAGCTTCTACAATTATCCTGAAACCAATCCACTACTGTCTCATTTTATGTACTATGTATCTCCTTTATTGTCTTTCAATAGGATCTCACAATTTTATCTAATAGGAACACAGGAGTCATACTTACATGTGGATTAGTGTTTTACCAAGATTCATTAATACTCACGAATATTCGTTTGTTATCAATATTACTAATAGTACAAATAAAAAAGCTAAGCAACATGATGAAAACAAAAAACAAAACTGACTTTTCAGAACTAAATTAGGAGGTGACTAAGAGATCACTGGAAAAGATCTTTGAACAATGTACAAAAGAGAAAGGGAGTGTATATCCAAGAAAGCAGAGAGGTCCACTTTGAGCTATATTTCTACAGCCTTTTAGCATGACTGAGTGTGCAGAGTCCAAACTTTTGTGTCTATGTTATTAGAATACAAGACTGCACATAGTTGTGATGAAAGATTAAAGTTTAAAACAAAAAGAAACATTGCACAGGACAAGGCCTTGGGAGGGGATAATTAGGCTCAAAGATAGTAGAGCCTTGTAAAATGAAGAGATAAAAAGACAGAACCTTGAGTTCAGGACAAGGAAACCTCCCTTGGTCATGTGCTCAGAGATACCATACAGACTGCCCAAGTTGTGTTCTTAATGTGAAAACCACACATCTTGATGAGAAAAAGTCCCCTACTCAGTTAAGATCCCTACCCTTCGAGTTTGCACAGAATAATAAAAAGACATTGTAACTAAGTTGAGAGGAGGCATGTTGTTAACCAGTGAGAAACAAAATTATAAGAAACTAACCAGTCATCACATTAAACACATATTTGTGTAGTTTGAAGTGTATAAATATGTCACTTCCCTGTGTGCGGTGTGCTAGCTTTGTGGAATTACCACCTAGCACCCATCTCCGTGCAGATATAGATTAAACATATATCCTGGCTCTGTGTTTTTCAGCTCATTGCACACCAGGTGAAAGACAGAGATTCGGGGACAACAGTTGAGCACTGAGACAACTCACATGAGAGGAGATGACGTGTTAGCAGCTCCTAGTGCAACCTAAGTGTACGACTCCATTCTGGAGAACGGACAAGCCAAACATGCAGTGACTAGTTAACCTAAGACTATATGTTCCGTTTGGCCTGCAACACTTTTCACATAGACTGTGTCAGGCATACAAATAGACTAGGGAAGTCCTTTTTAGAAAGCTTTGTTAAGATGTGCCAGAAGAGCAGCTGGAAGTTGTAAGCATCCTTGAGCTCAGACTGCCCTTGTGTACTCTGGGTGTCAGGGTGCCCTGCTATTGGCATCTCGTTCAGCAGCAGATGCCGACCTGTCAGTGTCCTGATGTGAAGGTACAGAGTTGGGTAAGGGAAAACAGTGGACGTTTTGGGGAGCCTGGCCTCCAAGGCACAGTATAGAGAGTGCTTTTAATTAGATCTAAATGTAACACTACCAGGAATAAAATTCAGCTGTGGAAACAACCTATTTTCATGACTATTAGTATTCCTGCAGTACCCTTTCCATTTGAAACACTTAACACCTGAATGTGCAGTTAGGTAGCTGAACATTTTTTGTTGAATTATGAGAGCATTTTAGATCAAGGCAAATAATTTGGGGGGAAAGAGGATCACTGAACCAAGCCTCCAGAGAAAAAAAAGCGTGTCTCAAAAACATGATTCCCACAATGCTGCTAGTTCCCAGAAATTATGATTTTTATATGCTAATATCAAATATACACATGGTATCAGTCCAAAAATCAGGTTAATCTCTCTTTTCATGTTTCCCAGTTATTTGTCTCAGAAGGCTTGATTTTAAACAGTGCTAAATTCATAATCTCTCTTAATAATCACACAAAAATATTTTATTAAAGAATATATAGAATTGCTGTAGCGAATTTTGAAAAAGCGAGTAGGAATGTGATTTAAATTCCTAGGTCCCACCTTGTCCAGTGAAGAGTTCGTTCATGACATCTAGTGGGTAAAGTCAGTATTACTTTTAATTTATAGAATGAAAGCGACTGAAAAAAAAGATGCATCAACATTTTACTAAAACTGCAATTGCTTGATTGCAGTTGATGATACTAAGTAACTGCCATTTCTACTGAAAAATTTATGTTAGTATGAAGTGTAGTTGAGAAAACAGTTTCACTTTGAGGTAACATGCACACCATTCCCTGTTTCTTGGAAAAGCAATTGGAAGTATTCTCCTTGCCAGAGCTGTTCTTAGTGACTTCTGAAGAAATACAAGGGCTATTACTAAATGATTTCAAACATTTTGACAACAAAGGAAAATTCACAATAACACGTCCAAGAACTGGATCCTAACACTCAACTTTTAGTATTGTAACTTCTGTGTTTGGTGCACAAAGTTGTGTTTCTCAGCACTAAGGTAAAAAATATCAAAATGTTGAAAGGAACACTCACAAGGCCTAGGCATCAATAAAAGCAAAAGGTATGGCTGTGCCATAAACCATAGATAATGCATGTTAGCAAAGGCACAAAGAATAGTATCTGTCTACCCAGGGATCTTTTAGTACTTCACAATGAGCAGTCACTGGGTAGAGAGCAATTGTTGCTGGAACTGGGCCCACTTAAGGAGCTAGCAAAACCACTACATGACAGAATCAGTCCTGGAACAAACGTTTTTAATTAATTTTTGTGCAGCTGCACAGACAAAATGGCCTACAGCCAGGTGGTCACGGCACTGCCTAGAGACCCGGCAGGTGTGACTTGGCACCTTTTCAGAAAGAAATAACTAAACCTGCAGCTCCTTTCTTCCCGAGAGTCCTCCACTTCTATTCTCTTTCCAAGAAGGAGACATCAGTGACTTATACACAGAACCTGCTCTTGTTTGAATGCCTTGAGCATGTTTTGAGTACTCCTACTGGAAGAAACATTCAGAGAATTTAACAGAACAGCTAATTTTTACATGAAGGTAGGAAAAAAAAAAAAAGATAGAAGATAGATAAGGGGAAGCTGAGCATTTTCAGATTCATAATTTAGCAGTTAAGACTCACTTTAGAAGTCTAAATTATTTTCAGATCTGGCCCTAGTTCATTGAGGAAATGTTTACCCACAGCTGAAATGTATCAGAGATGACTGCATTCAGTTTAATAAAATACTTCTGTGTTTTTTAGTTTAAATGATCATAGACAAAATTTTGTTTATGACCTTGTTAAGACTGTTTTCTTAAAATATGTATTTAAGTAAAAAAAAAATAAAATTAGTCACAAGTTGTCCTTGGGGAAGAAGATTGCTCAAATCGCAGAAGAAAGATGAATCATCATTTCTACACTAAATATACTTTATAGTATATTGGTCAAGCTTGCATCAATATGCCTTGAGAAAGACTCATAGACACAGGTATATTTATTCTAAAATCCTACATGTGTGTTCTCCATATTCTTTTTGAGATCACTTGCATACTAGAATAGAAACAGAACTTCCAGAACTACATTAAGCCATACAATTTGTCCTGTATCTGCCTGTGAGTACAACACATGATTTCTCCCAATAACTTTTTGTTAAGATTTTTGTACAGCTACAGAATTGTATTAGTCAGAACTAAAATTGCCCAGCTGCTACTTGAACCAAAAATAACTAGATTTTTGAGAATACATGTTTATTATTAGGACATGCTGTAGTTTCACATCTACTGAAACCACTGAGTAAAGTGGAGTCTCTCACTAATAAAAATCTCTAAATTGATCAATAACAAGCTCAGTAATTCACTTATTTCACACATCTTGTGCACTTGTGAAATACAGTGCATCCTTCCACCCATCACAGTCTGCAGCAGGAAAGGTAGGGGTTTGATTATTTTCTTTTGAAATAAATACCCCCACATAAGAAAATGACTGAGAATCTGTAGATATTTCTGTTTACCAAACCTACAGTAATCTACTCCAATTAGTGTGTACCAGTCAGTACACAGGGTCTCAACAGTGAGATATCTGTATAAGCTGGGTCTTCAGAACATAAACAAAAAAACCCCACAAACAAACCAACCACCTTTGAAGGTTTATAATCAAACAACATTACTACAGCGACTTTAAAGTCCTCTCTGCTTCAGTAGCCTTTGTTATCTTCATCACACACTTCAAAAATCTACAGAAACCATGTGATTTGCATTAAAAAACAATAAACCTGACCTAATATGTTTTACTCTGATTAACTGTTATGGGAAGAATAAATATTCAGGCACTTGCTGAATAAACTACGCTATTGAAAACAACTATTGAAGGTTAGTTGAATTTCTGTCAGAACTCTGTTCATCTACTCCGTTACAGAAGCTGAAAATAGACTGCATCCATTTCAATTTTTCCTCCTTCTATGTTTTGTGTGCTTATTATGAAAAGTCTTTTTGCAAACTTAGAATATATGGTACAGGCTTCTAGAAAGCAAATTACATTAAATTTGTTTCTGCAAGATCTTGAATTTTTTATTGAAAAAACATTAGGCATCTTTAATTCTCAGCTAAGTCACTATATAGAGAGGAATTATGAGAGGCTGGAACGCAAGCATAGTCAGAAGCCATCAAATTTTCTGAAGTACTTTTAGAAAAGACATACTGTTTCCATAGCCTATACTTAGGCAAGAGATTATGCTCATAACATACAAAAACATACAACTTTCCTAAGAGATTTTCCCACAGAAGATCATCAACAAGGGTTGATAATAAAACACTTGATCACATAGGTACTGGAGTAGTATATCCACAGGAAGAAGCATTACATGCAACTCTGTGGGAAAGTATTAATAAAATTACATAAACAAGTTGAAATTTAATTGTTTTTCTAGGTGTAGCTTGCCGATTTTATTGCATGCTGATATATGACACTAACATTTTTTGTTAACTGCAGCCACAAGCTTGTAATAAATTAATGAGAACCAAACGCTAAGACAGTTCATTTTGGTAGATAGGGCAAGCTTTGATGTAGTCCATGCTCTTACTTTGATGAATTTTACACCTGTTTCCCTCCCATTCTCTTCCTGAAGTCGTCACGCAGTTATCTCATTAGCAGGGCACTTCAGACACAGTAATTAACACTGAGCTGAATGAACAATTATGCAAATACTGCACCTGCCCTAAACTAATAATAAGGTCAAATAAAGACTTATTAGATTAATTCAGGTCACTAAGACGTGACTGTTCTGCCGGTTTAGCAGTTCTGAGAGATGCCAGAGCCGCCTGAGCGCCTCTCCGCGCCCGTGCGCTCCTGCCAGGCCGGGAAAGCCCTTCGGGCATCACCGGGCACCGACGGGACGGACCCACGACCCCTCCGGCTCCTCACCCGCCCGGCTGCGGAGGGCCGCTCCTCTCAGG